CTCAAATGAAAGCTATGCCATACTGATTTCTTTCTTTCTGATTCTCCTCACCATGTCTGAATACAGATACTGGTGTGAATGTACATTAGCGTATAGTTTATAAACAAGATGAAAGCAACAAATGAACAATGTTCCCTATTTATCCCTAGACCATGTACTGCATTAAACATACAGTGTAAAACTGGTAATGAAAGTGGGTAAATCTTTGTGCATTTATTAAAAGTTACAATCTGATATTTAAGTATTTTGAAAACTACTTCAAAGTGAAATGAGTATTTTGGTTGATATTTGGGTTATCTTTGGTTATTAATATAAAAGAATTAGATAAAAATTATCTAAAATGTTGGCAATTTTTATATAGTTAGAACTAAGTATTTTACTCCTCCTCTGGCTTTGCCCTCAACAGAATTATTTAATGATTATAAACAAGTGATATCTTTTTTTGTTACCTTAACAACCCCTAAAATTAGCTTCAGGGATTTCCCTATCCATCATTCTATGTAGGCTAGCTGGGGCTCCACTCTCATCTTCAAAGTTTGCAAAAGTGACTTAGGCCAAAGCCATTTTGTTTAGAGATGAGCAGATGACCAAAATTAAGCTTTAAGTATGAATCGTATGGCCTATATAGGAACACTCAGAAAGAAATTTCCTTCTTATCTGTGGGTTGGAAATTAATTGGCTACTACCATGTAACCACAAGGGAAGCATCTTTCTGAGGTTGAGGAGTAATGCTGAGGTTGCCCAAGAAAATGTAAGAAACCAGACTCCAAATATGTTATTAGTATTCAGCCAGTAACACAAATCAATAAACTACTTTTTGCTTAAGACAGCTTCAGTCAGGGTTTCTATCATTTGCACTGAAATGAACCCAATTTCACAAATTGTGGGAAATCCTCTTTACACTGAATAGTTGCTTTTGACCAAAAATTGTAGTGTTTTAGAAAAAGTTAGATCTGGATGTGATGGAAATTGGCTAATCCTTAAAAATATCCCACTGGAATTACAACTTAAGAATTCTCATTTTATCTTTGTCATTCTTTTCTTAGAAATATTGTTCTTTTTCTCCAATACAGAAGGTGGTTGACATAATTTTATTAAGGTTTTACAAATTATGAGAAAGTAGATGGAGGTAAGACATGATGCCTTTGGAAACAAGGATCCTGCTGCATTTTGTGTTTCTATCTTTGATTTATTCCTTTGTGCAAAAGTAGGACATTGAATAGTTACAATCTTTAGGCATCCACAAAGCTACCAGGAAGAGGATAAGAGGCACAAATGAAATTTTAGCCTTATATCTTGACTTATGGATGATGTTAGTCTTGATCAGGTCCTTATTTCAGATATCTTCTGTATGTTGACTTATTCACTTCTGAAAAAAAATAGTTGTAGTCAAAGAATAAAAGTGCCCAGTAATCTCTGTTAAGCTTTGCCCACCCAGTACCCAGGTCATGGTAGGCAGGAATTTGTATGCAACCACAGGCTTCTGACTCAATGGTGAGGGGAGTTTGGTATCAGACACTTCCTTGAATAGACTGTAATAGAGATCATCCCTGATTTAAGACTTGGTGTTCCTCCTGTATTCTCTGAAACTGAAGCTCACTCTCAGCACTGCTTTCTGCATTTTTCCTATCCTGTTAACATTTATCACAATTTATCACATGTCCTGGTTCTAATGTGCAGGGACTGTTACTCAGGTTAACTTTGGCTGAACTTTTGAATATTTCCTCCTTTTCTCCAGTCTTCTCTTTCTTCAATTAGATTGTGGTATAGTTTGATCAGGCAGTCAGACATTCAAAGGGGTCATCTTACCTAATTCCAATTTCAGTAAAAAAATATGTATGTATATATATGTATTTATATATTTTTTTCTGGCTCTTCTCAGAGCACGAGAATTCTGCCTTGCTTGTTCTCACCTTACTTCTAGAAAATAAAACCCATCTCAAAGTGTTCCTATCTGCTTGCCTTTTGCTTCAAATACAGACTCCTTTAGCTTCCCTGGTACCAAGCTTCACTCACACATGAGGAAACTTGGCTTTTAGTTGGGGCTGCTGACAACTCTGTCCCTGAATTTTTCTTTGAGCATTTTCAGCTGTAACCCTTGGATCCAGTCCTTCCTGACAAATCCGCACTGTCTATGGGACTTCCCACTGGTGGCTGTCTTTCCTTAAGGGTGTGCCCTTGTCAGAGTTCAGCTCTTACTTCCTGACCCTGTATTGATAATGCATTCTGTCAACTCTTTTCCCTTGTTTTTCAGTTCTCTTTGCCTAGTTGCCCAAAAGAATAGTAAACGGTTTTTCAAGCTATGAGATACATTATGACTAGATTTTCATTGTGTTAAATATTGTAAGACATGGGCTTTTAAAATTGTTTCTTAGAAATCACCATTTCAGTGTTGGGAAAGTTTAGAATCAGAGAATATCTCAAATTTTAAAAAAAGGTGGATTTTTTTTTTTTGTATTCTGTTTTTGGTCTTGTTTTAAAAAATATGTGAACTCATTATATAATAGCTGGTAATTCTAAGTAGTTCTCTTTTGTTCTTAATTTAGTTCATTGTTGTTATTTGGTGTGAACTTCTAAATTTTATTTTTATTAATGGTAAGGAAAATCAAGCCAATAGTAAACATAGGGAAATACAGAATCCATATGACTCAACCAATATGAACAATACCAACAATTTAACACAATGTGAAATATGATTTTTATTTTTCAAGCTTTGTGTGTTAGCTTGGCTTCTGGGAAAATAACACTTTCCTTGGTCCGCTTTGAACACAGGGAGTTTTCTCTCCTCGACTTTCCTGAACTTTGTTAAACATTTGTTGCTGTTTTCTACTTGTCCTCTCTTTCTCTAATTAAATGGTGATGTAGTTTGACAAGACAGTCAAAAATTCAAAGTGACATATGGAGGCTTTCCACTCTGTTTTCCATCTGGGAGAATTATGAAACAAGAATGAGGGAAAGGGGGAGGAATGGTGAAAAATAGAGTTATTGCAGTGATGAAGGGCAGAAGGAAATGTGATGTGAGACAGGAATGAAGCCAAACAGGTAAAAGAATTGGGGATATGCATTGGGTCTTTCTTTCTTTTTTTTTCTTTTTTTTTTCTTTTTTGTATTACGCGGGCCTCTCACTGTTGTGGCCTCTCCCGTTGTGGAGCACAGGCTCCGGACACGCAGGCTCCGGACACACAGGCCCAGCGGCCATGGCTCACGGGCCCAGCCACTCCGCGGCGCGTGGGATCCTCCCGGACCGGGGTACGAACCCGTGTCCCCTGCATCGGCAGGTGGACTCTCAACCACTGCGCCACCAGGGAAGCCCCAAAATGCAAATATTTTATACTGAATTTTTATATGAACTATGAATCCACATCTTCCCAAATCAGTGAAGAGTTATAGGAAGAGAAACAAATAGTTTGACTTTACTCATTCCCAAAACGTCTCTATATTTCATGTCCTATCGAATGGATTTTATGATGTTCTTTTTGAATATTTGCAGTCATTATCTGGAAAATGTAAATATTTTGAAATGTGTCATTAAAGGTATATATTATTTCTTATATTTTAAGCTAGCCAATATGAAGAAACATTTTTGAACCCTGCAGGTAGGATTCTTTAAAAAGAGATTAATTCCTTCCAAATAGCATCACCTCTATGTAAACACAAAGTATAATTTAAACTGTAAGAGGGGCGGGGCAGATGCCACCTATAGCAGCCCTGCTCAGACATTGGTCCGCACAGAAGTGGCCCCTCCCTCTTCCCTCTCCTCTGTATAAAAAGAACCTGAATTCAGACTGGGACAAGATGATCTTTTTCAGATGCTTGTGTGCCATCTTCTCAGTCTGCTAGCTTTCCGATTAAAGTCATTATTCCTTGCCCCCAAAACTTATCTCCCGCTTTATCAGCCTGTCTTGCTGCGAGCAGAGCGAGCTTGGGCTGGGTAACAAAACTACTTTTTAAGGCTTTGTACACTTGTATGATTTTAGGTGACTGTGTTTCTTTTATGTCTTTGCTGATTGTCTCTCATCCCTACTTGCCCCATTCTGGAGTGCCTTCCATCATTCTCCTAGAGTTTGGTTCTGTGAGTTAAGCACACAAGTTAGTCTTGTCTGTGTAGTTGGCTAAATTATTCAAAAAAAATTTTTTTTTTTGCTTCGTCTGATGCCTTTAGTCATAGACACCTGACATCATACCCAAAGGTCAAACAACCTGAAACTCACCATAGATAGCCACTCTCTTCATCTGCAATCCTCTTCCTTACCCCCAGAATGAGAAATTCTAGTACAAAAACTAGTTTTATTTAAATTGATTGGAAAGAAAATATCACTTCCCACCGAAAACTCATTTGTTCTTAAGACCCCAGCTAACATATGTTGCTTCTTTGAGCAGATTAGAACTCTCCTCTCCCCACACAAACACACATACCTCCCTTTGAGTAGATACAGCTCTGTGGCTGCACAAAATTTTAAGCAGAGCACACACTAGATTTCTGCTGCCATGTGCTCCTCAGCTGGGCACAGTTCTGCAGTGACCCAGCACGTTCAGTCCTATATAAATTATAATCTCCAGATTAAAAGATGTAGAGACGATCTCTGAAAAGAAATAGGTAATGGATAAATTGGAAACTGGAATAAACCTGCATGTACAAAATACAAAGTATTTAAATTTTACATTATACTGATAGGTTTAATTTTGACTATATTAATAATACATGTTTATTTTAGTAGAGTTCAAACATAAAGAAAAAAGAAAAGAAAAATACCAATTTTCCCAGAGTTAGCTATTATGAAGATGAAGTTTTCATATTGTTTTTATTTTTTTCCAACAAAGCTCTCACTTATTTATTACTGAGCCAAAGCACTAGTGTAGAAACACTGACAGAAAGAGAAAAACCATTTTCCCAATAAAACACATCCAGCTGTTCAGATAGTAGTGATGTTTTCAGAGTGGTATGGTAAGACTTAAGTGACCCTGACACAGAATATGTGTGCCACCTCACATAGGGCTCCTTATAGACCCAGCTTGGTTCTTTTCCATTGTCTTCTCTTGGGGTTGTACCTGATGTTATTACCAGTTTTCGTTCGAATCCACTGGGGAATGGAACAATTCTTCTTTCGTTTCTTGGCTGGGAATCTCTTGACCCTGAGAGTCTTATGAGAAGACATGGCAAGGAGCAAATGCAACGGTTCATAGGATGGCAGAGAAGAGCAGAGAGAGCTGTTTTTATTTAAAAAGAAAGAATAAACATTACTCAAGTCACTTAACACTTATGTATATTGTGACAATAACTTCTAATTTTATAATGTTTCAAAATGGATATACTAAAATTTACTAATCCTTAGTTGTTGGAAAAGTGAATAGTTTTAAGTAAAATATCTTTCTACAACTTGAATTTCTGATGTTATTCATCTGAATAATGAATTATTTGCCTTTTAATGACATAAAAATTTCCATGCAACCTAAAGTAGAGGCCACTGCTAGGGAGAAGTCTTTTTCTGTTAACATGCATTATTAATACTATTGTAATTATAACCACATTGCTACTGGAGAAAATTATTTTATTATGAGTTTCAGTGTCTGATATTAAGGATTAGATTTTATCCTCCATACTGCAGTTTTAATAGCATAATATATCAAGGGTTCATTTACTGTTTTAGGTAGAGCCACAGATTTGTTTATTCATAGACTGTTAAGTAACCAGACTGCACAGCTGAAAATAATTTGCAAATTTGATTCATTTTCTGACTTAATCAGGCTTCAACTTTAAGAACATAAATACTGAAACACAAAACATTGTTTCTATTGTGATTCTAACTTGTAAAAGTGTAAGAAAGTAATATTATTGCCTATGGTACTATGCAGGTTGCTATTTCTTTGCTTGAAAAGACTCCTTAACTAGAAAAATTGTTTATATCACTGTTTTAATGTTTGCACTTATTACACATGAAAACACGGAGCCACTTAATCGAAGAAAAAATTGTCTAATTTCTTTCCTGTGGACTGACAAACACTGGGGGTGCAAGAGATATTTTTCAATCTATTTAGACATAGTTGCTTTTAAGCCAGTGGTTCCCTCTTTTACCACCCACTAAGTGCTTCTCTCAGCATCCAAGGTCAGTGGCTATTTTCAATAAAAATTCTATAAACTGTAACTCATTGGTGTCATTACTAATCAGATAGTATCTTTCTAATAGCTAACCAGGATTTCTCATAGTAAACTGGAGTAATTTTCAAGGACATATAAAGTGACTGGTTTTCTTACCTAAACCACAATTTACATGTGGTACTGTGGACCCAATGGATGGCTACTGCTAATAATGCAGATGCCCAGGAAGCCAAGACAATTGAATTTGACCATGGGATGTCCAGCTTCCTTTAATGAACCAAACATTTACCACTGACTTGCAGGCTTCCACCCCAGCACCCATTGAGACACATTCATTCTGCTTCAAAATGGCATCAGTCATAGGAAGGTCAGAAGCACATCTTCCATGCTTTATGGGGCAGCATTTTGTTTCTGCTCCTGGGAAGTAGATACATGTGTGAGCACACACACAATTGCCTTCTGAGAAAAGTCTTTCCTTTCAGATATTTCCACTGCTCACATCCATGGAGGTTGGGGAAGAGTCCTGCCCACACACCTCGCAACCTGGATGCTAAATTGTGCATAACTCACCCTGTTACACAGCCAACTGAGGCAACAGTTCATTTAAAAGAAACAACCTCAAGATGATGCTTTGTCCTTGTCTCAATTCATAGCCCCACAAAGTTTGATAAGTAGGCTACGTGACTGGACATTCCTTTTATGCCTCTGCTTCACGTTTCCCAAAATTATGTCCTAATATTTTACCAAAAAAACATTTATTAAAAAGCCATATGTCTGCATTTCAATTAAACTTGCTGTTGACCATATCATTTATTACTTTGTTCCTAGGGACTAATACCACTCAGAAAAAACAAAAGGGGAGGGGTTTAAAAAGTTGTTTTTCACACTGAATTGGTATATTTTCTACTGTTAGATAATGACATTTTCCTCTTTCTGTTGATTGCTAAGATACTCAGGTAAACTATATGCTCATTTGTTGGTCTTTTCTTCAGCTACAACGTATGGCTCACAGTGGAAGCTCAATAAATTTTTGTGAATTTTTTTTTTATTGCATGCTGACTCAACTAGCTCTTGCAATGAATAAGTTTCCTCCCACACTTTTCTTCCTCTTTTTTCTACAAATCTGTTGATTAAATTAAATGTGACAGGAGTACATGGAGACTTCTGGGTGGGATGGAAATGTCCTGTACCCTGATAATAACTATTACATGGGTGTATACAATTGTTAAAATTCACCAAGCTGTATCTCTTTAAGAATAGGTGTTGTTTATAGTATCCAAATTATACCTCAATAAAGATGAGTTTGAATAAGAGTGTAGAGTCAATACTCATGTGTTGAGTGCAGTTTCTTTTGGCATGCTAAAATATCAATACTATCTTTACATGAAAGAAGCATATTTCAAAATGTAATAAAATGTATCCTTGAGAAAGCTTGCAATATTTATATTAAAGATAGTCACTGTGTTTGGAAGTGAGAACAAGAATTTGAGTCATATGAAACAGAGGCAAGTCTCAGGTAGAAAATTAACTCAGAGTAGAACCTGGGGAAATGCTTCCTCTTTTGTAAAATTGGACTCAGTAGCTTCTCATTAAGATTGCGATAAGATTTTGTGTTTCTACAAGAATTCTGCAGTCAATATGTAGTAAATATATATTTATACATATATTTTTCTATTGTATTAACAAAAGGCTAAATTGACAGTTTACATAATCTTTTACAAGTCCACGTATATTAAAATATCATATGATTCCATAGAACACAGGAAATAGAATATTTTAGCGGTCATACCACACATACCAATTCTCCAGGTGTGTTATCAAAAACCTGTAAGAAGCATTATTTGGAGCCCTCTGCTAGGGCCCGGACCCAGGATTCTGGATGTGAGGTCACAGAATTTGGTATTGTATCCTTGAAATTTGCTAAGAATTTGCTAAAAAAGTAGAGCTTAAGAGTCTTCACCCCCCACCATGTGATAGATATGTTAATTAACTTGATTGTGGTAAATATTACACAGCATATACATATATTAAATCCTCACATTCTACACTTTAAATACGTACATTTTTTGGTCAGTTATACCTCAATAAAGCTGAGAAAAAAGAATTCAGGGTCGGAGCTATAACAGTTCTGGGTCATGTCTCCCAGCGGACCCTCAGACCAAGATAAAAAGAGCAAGGTGATGCAATAACCACATGTGAGTCACCTATCAGCAGAAGGAGGCTGAAGAGAGCGATAAATGGGCAAACAGAATGCATCTCACAATCAAATTAGACACTTTTAATGATTAGGGACAAAAGCTATAGATAAATCAAGCCAGTTACAAATGATAACCTAAAATGATAATAGACGTAGCGACAAAAGAATAAATCATTTAAACAAGAAAATGAGTCAACTGAAGGCAATCTATTCACTTTGAGTCTGAATGAGAGAGGCAGAGAGAAAAGTTCAGGGTCATAAAATACCAGTAGCATCTAAACGTTAAAGCAGAGGCCACATCAGATGTTATAGAGAACTGGGAGGATGAGGAATAAGAAAGAACACACATAGGTATGAACACACACATCCCCCCCATGACATATGCCCTTCTCTCACCAATAGTCTCATACTTTGTGTGTGTGAAAGAAATCATCCAAAATATTATTAAAAGAGAAGTCAAATGTAAAGGTATTTGTGGGTGAAGAAGCAGGGGCAGGGATTGTAGACTACACATTTGGGAAATGGGATGGTATAATATTAGCTACAGAAGGTATCAGACTTGAGGGAATATTTTTAGGGTGTGCAGACATGGGCAGTTTTGTGATCTGATTGAAGGAAACAGACAGAGGAAGATTGAGGATGAGAAATGTGTGTAAAGGTGTCTTTTGGGAGAGTAAGAAAATAAATGGATATTTAAGAAAGAATGGAGGATAAAGGTTAATTTATTCATTATTATGTGGCAGTCCCATAGGACACTGTCAACAGTGCACTAATAGGGGTTGGGTATTGGCTCAGGAAAGTGTGGATCGTGTTTGTTAAGGAGTAGAATGGAGTCACATATAGAATTGAATTTTGGAAGAAGGGATAGAGGGAGGGATATATTTTATATGTGCATATTTGCCTTAGTATGTTTGGAAACTACAAATAATAGAGGCAGGAGGCTGGGGGATAGATGACGACACACTAAATACATGGCTTGGTGAGTAGGCTGAGTTATGTAATTCAGGTTAGGATTATCAGTCTTTAACAAGTCCTAAGTTCTAGTGGGACAGTTGGTGTGACATTGTAAGGCTGAGTCGAGCTGCTCAGTGGTAGAGCAGGCAAGGGTCATAGAATGGCTGCTGGAAAATCTGCATTAATATTAACAGCCAACAGTTCCTGAGCATTACTAAGTGGAGGGCACTCTTCTAAGCGAACTGCATAGCTTAACTTATTTATTATTTATATGAGATAGGAGCTATTAATATCTCCATTTTTTTTTTCAGAGGCACAGAGAATTTAAGTAACTAGGCCAAGATTTCACGACTTGTAAATGGAGAAGCCAGGCGTAGGACCCAAGCTTCTGACTCTAGAGATCACGCTTTCAACCACAACATTATTCCGCCTCCCATATTAGTGAACTCAATGAGTTGCTAAGTGAGAGTCCTATTTTCTCTTAGGCTGCTCTTCAAGGGAAGTTTCAGGCCTACAAAGGAGGTCTGGATAAACTTGCCCTTCTCATCATCCAGAGCAGGCCCTATGCTTTCTGCTGGGTAGAGACTCACGTTCCTTTCTGCCTCCAAGTGCCCATGTTCTCATTTTCTGCCTCATGTTAGCCTGGGCAGGGTACTGGGTATTGGCTCAGGAAAGTGTGAACTGTGTTTGTTAATGAGTACGATGGAGTCACATAGAGATCTGAATTTGGGAAGAATGGGTCAGTCTGATTCATTTTTTTCCCATAAACCTACAATTACTTCCCAGACTATTATAAGATTACAAAGGCTATTGAAGACAATGGGGATTGTTTCTGTCACCTACTGCTGTGTAAAATACCACATCAAAATTTAATGCCATGAAAAGATGAGCATTATTTCTTATGCTTA